CCGGGGAGCCCGGACGCCAGGAGCGCCGCGGCCGCCCGGCTCCGTAGACGGCGGGAGCCCAGGGACCCTCCCCGCACCTCCGGAGCGCGGTTCAGGATGCTGCCAGCCGCCCTTCTCCTCCTCCTCGTCGGTAAGAGCCGCCCCCAGGGCCCTCCCTGCCCGGGTCCCTGTGCGACCCCCGAGCCCGCAGTCCCCGCCGCCCCGCTCAGCCCCGCTCCCCTTCCCGGCCCACACCGCTCTGGCCAGCCCCACGGGCCCTGCTGGTGGACCTTGCTTCGAGGTCCCAAGTTGTACCTTCCTCGTAGCTCCTCTGCCCTTCCTAGTGAACTTCCCGGAAGTCCCCGCTGGGCTTCCTTAGTGGTTCAAGTGAGAAAACTTGGGGACTCACTCTCCTGCCCTTTCTCTCTTTCACTCCAGGAGGCGCTGTGGCTCACTCAGACCGAATCGCCGCCCCAAATCCTGGTGAGAGTACTGGGAGCCCCCTGGGACTCTGAGCTTGAGACAGACCTATCATAGTTTTCAGAGTCAAGAATATCCATCTTTTCCTAATGGGGAAATTGAGGTTCAGTGAGGGAAGGTGATTTCGGTTGTCTTTGTGTTTGCCTCTTCCAGGGCTTGAACTGTGGGCCTTGTTCTCTCATTCAGTGGCTCATTTTTCACTCAGGAACGATGTTCTACCATTTGAGTCATGACTCCAAGTCAGGCATTTGTGCTGGTTAAGTGGAAATAGAATGTTGCAGACTCTTCTTCCTAGGCTGGATTCCAGATCTCAGTATGTTGTATAGCTAGGATTACAGGCTATGAACCATTGGTGCACAGTCCTTTGGCTTTTGGTGTTTTCATTGTTTTGTGCCAGTATTGGGGTTTGGGGCTCACTCTCAGTGCTCTATCACTTGAGCCACACCTTCATTTCCAGCTTTTTGCTTAGGTAATTGAAGACAATAAGAATCTTCAAGATTTATCTGCAGGGGCTGACTCCCAACCTCAGTCCTCAAGATTTTAGCCTTCTGTAGCTAGGATTACAGGCATGAGCCACCTATGTCCAGCCTTTCATTGTTTTTGTTTGTGCCAGAACCAGGGCTTGAACTCAAGAGTCTCAAGCTCTGGTAATTGGAGATGAAGTCTCACACACTTTTCTGCCTGGCCTGGTTTCAAATCATGATCCTTCAGTTCACAGCCTCTGGAGTAGTAAGGATTACAGGTGTGTGCACCAGCACCTGGCCTACCTAGTAGCTGTGTCACATTTTTTTCAATGGAACATCCTTTCTTGTTCTCCACAGCTGGAAATAATAGTCTTCCTGAGAGTAGAAGCAGTATTTTCTGCTCTTCTTGGCCCAGCCAACCTCAAAAGCAGTGCTAATATTTAAGGTTTATGAAGAGCGTAGAGGGGAAGAGAGGGACCAGCAACACTCTGCTCCTTCTTAAAGAACAGAGGCTCTTGGAGGCCACAGTACTGGGGAGGAATGGGATGTTGAGGAGCTCTCCACAGGTATCATTTCCTCCTTCCAGCTTGTGAGGCTCCACCAGCTGTGCTCTTGGAAGTGCAGGGCACCTTACAGAGGCCCCTGAGCCGCGAGAGCCGCAGCTCTCCTGCCAACTGCACCTGGCTCATCCTGGGCAGCAAAGAGCAGACTGTGACCATCAGGTGAGAAGCAAGATCCCTGCACCTTCCCTCTCCTCTGTGGAAATCAGAGGTCACTTCTCCTTGGAATGTTCATCCTTGCCAAGAGAAGAGTAGAATTTCATTTGACCTGCTCTACCTTAAAACATTAGCTCACTGGGCCAGATGTGTCAAGTTGGAACTACTTTGAGGTAGATATCTATCTCAGGTCCCGGGCTCCAAAAGACCACAGTCACTCTAGAAATAAGATGTTCTAAGGAGTCCTTCAATCCATTGCATGGCTCTGCTTGGGATTTAATCAGTGTAGAACCTTCCTTAGGGGTAGAGGTGTAATAGCTCAGAGGTAAAGCACTTGCCTACTTCGGTACCACAAAAAAGGCTTACTGCTGAGTTTTCATTTGGCTTTTTAAAAACCAGTAAGAGATGTTTGTGCTTCTTGGATAGAAGGGACCTGGAGGGTTGGAGGAAGAGGAAGACAGCAGTAATCCAGAATATCTCATGTCCTTCTCTCCTCTACCTTGTAGGTTCCAGAAGCTGCACCTGGCCTGTAGCTCTGAGCGTTTAATTCTGCACTCCCCACTCCAGCCACTGATCTCCCTGTGTGAGGCACCAGCCAGTCCTCTGCAGCTGCCAGGGGGCAATGTCACCATCACCTACAGCTATGCTGGGGCCAAGAAATCCATGGGCCAGGGCTTCTTACTGTCTTATAGCCAAGGTAGGCTGGAAGCAGTATAGAAGCAGCCATTAAAACAGGAAGTGGAAGTCCCCAGGGAAGAGGTAAGAACCCTAAGGGCTCCTCTGGTGCTTCACAGTTCCTCTTGTGTTGCCTCTCCAGATTGGCTGATGTGCCTACAGGAAGAGTTCCAGTGCCTGAACCACCGCTGTATACCTGCTGCCCAGCGCTGTGATGGCATCAATGCCTGTGGTGATGGCTCTGATGAAGCAGGTTGCAACTCAGACCCATTCCCTAGCCTGACCCTGGCTCCTGGACCCACCCTGCCTTGCAATCTTACCTTAGAGGACTTCTATGGAGTCTTCTCCTCCCCTGGATATTCGCACCTGGCCTCAGTTTCCCATCCCCAGTCATGCCTGTGGCTGCTGGATCCCCATGATGGCCGGCGACTGGCAGTGCGGTTCACAGCACTAGACTTGGGCTATGGAGATGCAGTGCATGTATATGATGGTGCTGGGCCCCCTGAGACCCCTCGCCTGTTACGCAGTCTCACCCACTTCAGCAATGGCAAAGCCGTGACTGTGGAGACACTGTCTGGTCAGGCTGTTGTGGCCTACCACACAGTTGCTTGGAGCAATGGTCGAGGCTTCAATGCTACCTACCATGTGCGTGGCTACTGTTTGCCTTGGGACCGACCCTGTGGCTTGGGATTGGGCCTAGAGGCTGGGGAAAGCCTGGGAGAGCGCTGCTACAGTGAGGCACAGCGTTGTGACGGCTCATGGGACTGTGCCGATGGCACAGATGAGCAAGACTGCCCTGGCTGCCCACCTGGGCACTTCCCCTGTGGAGCTGCAGGCACCCCTGGTGCCACAGCCTGCTACCTGCCTGCCGATCGCTGCAACTACCAGACGTTCTGTGCTGATGGAGCCGATGAGAGACGCTGCCGACACTGCCAGCCTGGCAACTTTCGATGCCGGGACGAGAAGTGTGTGTATGAGACCTGGGTTTGTGATGGGCAGCCAGACTGTGCCGATGGCAGTGACGAATGGGATTGCTCCTATTCCCTGCCCCGCAAGGTCATCACTGCTGCAGTCATTGGCAGCCTTGTGTGCGGCCTGCTTCTGGTCATCGCCCTGGGCTGCACCTGCAAGCTCTATGCCATTCGCACCCAGGAGTACAGGTCAGTGGGAGAAAGTGGGGGAGGGGGAGAGTCTGAGGGAGGAATGAGATCTGTGTAGCTGCAGGAGACCTTGAGGGTGGCCTTGGGAAGAGTTCCTATGTTGCCTGGCTCTTGAAGGACAGGTCTAACTCCTAAAGCAATCTCAAAGGAGGGAACTAGTTGACCTTTAGGCAAGCCACAACATAGCTTAGCCCTCGTGGCTTGGGTGTGGACAGAAGAGGCCACTGCAGACTGGGCAAATTGTCCTGTGGGCGCCACCAGCAACTGAGCAGCCCTCATTCTTTCCAGCATCTTTGCCCCTCTATCACGGATGGAGGCTGAGATTGTGCAGCAGCAAGCACCCCCCTCCTATGGGCAGCTCATTGCCCAGGGTGCCATCCCACCTGTGGAAGACTTCCCTACAGAGAACCCTAATGATGTAAGTCATTCCCCAAAACCCTTGTACCTCCTAGGCCTAACCCCATTGCGGCTCCACCACTCAATCTTCTGGCTCTGATGTCTGCCTCTTGTCCTTGCAGAACTCAGTACTGGGCAACCTGCGGTCTCTGCTACAGATCTTGCGCCAGGATATGACTCCAGGAGGAGCCTCAAGTGGTCGCCGTCGACAGCGGGGTCGTTCAGTGCGTCGCCTGGTTCGTAGGCTTCGCCGCTGGGGCCTGCTTCCTCGAGCTAACCCCCCAGCCAGGGCCTCTGACACCAGGCCCCAGGCCACACCTGCTCCTCCCCTTGAGGTCCAGGATGGAAGCACAAGTCCAGCCCATGAGGGTGGGGCAGTAGGTGGGCAGGATGGGGAGCAGGCCCCCCCACTCCCCATCAAGTCACCCCTCCCACCTGCCAACACATCTCCAGTAGTCCCCCTTGCTGTCTCTGAAGCCCAGGGGACACTGCCCTCAGTGCCCCTAGAGCCATCCCTACTGTCTGGAGTCGTACAGGCCCTGCGAGGTCATCTCTTACCCAGCCTTTGGCCCCCAGGCCCGGCATGGACACCCCCAGGACCTCACACAGCAGTCCTGGCCCCAGAGGATGAGGATGATGTTCTGCTAATGCCTCTGGCTGAACCAGAGGTATGGGTGGTTGAAGCTGAGGATGAGCCATTGCTTGCTTGAGGGGGCCTGACTCTAGTCACAGTGGCACAACTCTGTGGAGGGGTCTCAGCTTCCCCATTAACCTGTGTAGCAGCTGCAAAGTTAGGTGTCCCTCAGGTCGGCAGAGAGCTTACTTACTATCAGCCCCCTCTCTGTATGGCCAGAACAACAGTCTCTTGCTTCTGCCCACCCCGTGTCCCATCACTGTCTAAGTGGCTATTTTATGAAAGTAAAGCTTGTAAAGGATTATAAGCCTGGACACTCCATCCTTGCCAAAGCCCCACCCAAAAGTGACCTTAAGCACCCAATGCCAGTTGACTGGAGATTCTCCAGCCCCTAAGTGGAGGATTTGCACAGGGCTTAAAAATTTCCAACCTCCATCTCTATAAACCCTAGCAAAAAAACAAAACAAACAAACAAGAGTATTTGTCCCATAGTTTGCTCATTGCCGGGGGGGACATCAGACTTGGGAGTGTGCTCACTTCTAGCATGTATGAGGCCCTGAGTTTGACCACAGCACCACAAATATATAAAATAAAGCAATCGTAAGTTTTAACATTTGGCAAATTAGTTATGAGTCTGAGCTCTGTTTCTCTGCTCCTCTGAGTGAGCTCATCTTGTCTTCCTCCTCCTTGTTAGAGGCCTTAGCTCAATCCTCTCCCTGCTTCCTATTTGTCCTCCAGCCACCCACCCTGGGTTTTTTGTTTGTTTGTTTTATTTTGTTTTTGGTCGGTCATGGGGCTTGAACTCTGGGCTTGGGCGCTATCCCTGCTTAAGCCACAGTGCCACTTCCGGTTTTCTGGTGACTTATTGGAGATTAGAGTCTTACGGACTTTCCTGTCCGTGCTGGCTTTGAACCTCAATCCTCAGATCTCAGCCTCCCGAGTAGCTAGGATTACAGGTGTGAGCCACCAGTGCCCAGCTACCCTGGTGTGTGTGTGTGTGTGTGTGTGTGTGTGTGTGTGTGTGTGTGTGTGTGTGTGTGTGTGTGTGTGTGTTTGTCAGTCGTGGGGCTTGAACTCTGGGCCTGGGCGCTGTCCCTCAGCTCTTCAGCTCAAGGCTAGCGCTCTACCACTTGGACCATAGCACCACTT